ATATGAAAGTTCGTGTATCCAAACAGGTAGTAGAAGGTTTTCATCGAGACAAAAATGAAAACGAATGAGCAAAAATAAAATTATCTTAGCAAAACTGTATTTTACAACGCGCGTGAGTAAGATATTCTATATCTCAAGTATGAGTGAAACCATGAATATGATTGTATCGGATATGCATGTTCGTGTATAAAATTTTCCAAACACGTAGTATAAGGTTCAATCGAGCCAAAAATCAAAACGAACTAGCAAAATAAAATTATCACGACTATATTTCACAATGCGAGAGTAAGATTTTTTCTATCTATGTAAAACTTTTGTCAAGCGTGAAATATAGGAAAACTCGCGCGTAAGATTTTTACTTTTACTATGAAAAAATTTAGGTAGTAAAATTTTACTACATACTATTTCACGTAGTAAGATTTTTACTTTTACTACATACTTTTTCATGTAGTAAGATTTTTCAATGAGCTTTTTACTCTTACTATGTAATTTTTTTTATTTAACACTTTATTTTATTGAAACTGATTTAAAATAATTTACATCATCGAAGAAGAAGTTCAACATAATACAAAGAGAAATTATTGGTCCATTCCGCACCAAAAATTAAGTGAAGATAATAATCGTTGACGACACATTAGCGGTACCAAGATGATCTTGTTTTGAATAGAAGGTAGACAATTAAGTGTTCTCGAATCCACAATAGGAGCCGGATTTCCAAAATCTATTACGATAACATGATAACAGTTCTCTGAATTTAGATAAATTTTCTCCTTTGATTGCCTTCAATTTTGTTCTGAGTTAACTTCAGTGAAGCAGCCGTTGAAAAAGTTTGAAATGCAAAACTTAAAGCAAATAAATAGCCAAAATTGACTAGAAACTAAACATAGATATTCTACGAGAGAAAAAACCTCAACTAAAAACTTTTCCAAAAAAACTAAACTCAATCAAAGGAATTACAATAACAAAATCCAAACGGCGACTGACATCGCATCGTCTTGTGGCTAAATACTCCAAAACATCTTCTAAACTTCATGTCGTGCATAAAAACTACTAGTTTACAACTTGCTCCCTCTCATGATGCCGGCAAAAGTACCCTACTTCGGAAAGGGAATAAAGTTAAATCACTTTTTTTTCCTTTTCCTTTGTCTCTAACGGCTAGGGTTACCGATATTATACTATGTAAAATTTTATGTAGTAAGGTTTTACTCTTACTATTCCACGTACTAAGATTTTAATCTCTATCTATGTAAAACTCTTGTCATAAAGTAAGATTTTTTTCAATCTATCTATCTATATATATTTCACAACACTCTTGTAGTGAAACTCTTGTCATGAGTAAGATTTTCCGCAAATCCAACTGAAAAGCTTAAGGTCGCCTAGAGGTTCACCTACATGCGGAGCACCTCCATTGCTAAGCTTTTCATGAGGAAATAAAATAATAATACATATTGAAAAAGTAGAAAAGAGAAAGATGGGAGTCTTTTTTTTTAGAAACTCTTAAAAATCTCTTAAGAAAGTCAAATACTAATTGTCATCATTTCATTAGCATAATATTTAATTGGATAATTAAAAGGAAAAATTAGGTCCTATATTAGTCTTCTTAGACATAATTAGATATCTAACACT